CCTTGAACTGCAGACGCTGCTTCTCCTCGCCGTCCGCCGCGCGGACGTGGGCGATCGCCATCATGATGGCAGCCATCTGGTCAACCGTTCTTTGGTAGAAGGTCTCGGCGATGATCTTGGCCCCGTCCACTCTCGGGTTGTATCCGTCCTGTTTCGTACGTCCGTTGTGCCGCGGAAACTCGTGCACGAGCTCATAGAGATTGATCCATCCATCATGATCGTCGGACGTCTCAAGGCTCCACACTGGATTGTGTGGTCTGTCAGGCGCGTGTCTGCAGATCCTGTTGAGGCATTTACTAAGCTGCTTGAGTGTATGATTACTTCTTGGAACAATATTTTTCTGCCTGCAGCTCTCCATGAATGCTTCATCCACCGAGCGCACCGGTGGAAGATTCCGCAGAGCACGTCGATCATTGATTAACGCCTGACTCCCGCTAATAAAGGAAGTATCCCCTGGGTGGTGCAGCTTATCCTCTGGCGGGCTTCCCCGCAAAGGAGCCTCTGTCGCCGATGGGGATGCGGCTCCCGAAGATGAGGATGCTGCGGCTGCAGCGCTTGGCGGGCTTCCCCGCAGTGTTTCTCGGCTGGCGCTGCCCTTGATCTCAGGCACCCAGGTACCTCTAGACAGAGCACCTCCCTCAGACTTCTTGGAGCGTGTCGCCGCAGGCGAGGCCGGCGTAGGGGTAAACCCTGCACGCTCGAATGCCTTGGCCTTGCCGGCGATAGAGCCGCTACGGCTAGGCTGTCGTCTGCGGATCTCCACGGAGTCCTGAGGTTGTTGCCTAGGGCCGGGTCTCTGTGCAGGAGCTGCACGAGTCGGTGACTTCGGCACTTCAGAAAGGGGCCTCCCCATCTGCACATCGAACCCGAGTTCCTCTGAGCGGGTCGACGCTTTCTGTCTTTCCCCCGAAGGCGTCCTAGGTGCACGTGTTTCGCTTTTGGCCTTCGGTTGGAGTGGGGGCTTCCTTGCCCCTTTGTGACTCCAGCAGCATTTGGCGAGTTGCCTCGCGGGCGCGTTCTTCTGCCACTCGTTTGCGCTCCGTTTCTGCTGCGGCTCGCTGAACCTCCTGTTCATGGTCATCCATCATCTCTTGTTGTTGGGCCTGACTGGAGACGCCAGGCGGGTTTCCCCGCATTCCAGGAAGACGATTGAGCGCATCTTTTTCTTCCTGGGTCATAGGCACAAGTCCCCGCGGAGGTTGGACCTCCTCGGCCGTAGAGCTCCTGTGAGCCGTGGTTCCGAGACGACGATTGACCTCGTCGATCTCTGCGTGGGTCATAGGAACCGACGGTGGATGACCCTCTTTTTCAGGAGTGCGGCCTCTGTTCGGGCTTAAGCCCTCATTGAGACCTGCAGGACACCCAGGTCTGTGTTCCTGGAATGGCTGTGAGCACGGGCCGCAGACCGCGTCTGGCCTGTAGCGCTTGCGCTCCCCAGTGATAGTCCGCAGCTGTTTCCGCGCTGCCTCTATCTCAGGACGACGAATGTTCGTCGCGAGCTGATAGCCACCCCGTATGGACCTGCCTTGGGCGCCCCTGTAGGCCGGGTTGCCTTTTCCAAAGGCAGAGTGCTCACCCGTTTGACGCCGAGGGTCGTTGTAGGGGAGCAACTGACCCCCTCGTCGAGAGGCATGCTCTGATGGGGCTGCTTGCCTCCATTCGCGTGGGAGCCGTGCTTGAGCGTGAGGGTCGCCCCTAAGGCGTGGATGCGAGCGAGACCTCCTGGCATGTTCATCAGATGATGCCGCCGACGTAGCCTGAGCAGGAGCCGGCGGGGGTTCCTGCGGGGCCGCAGGCGGCGCATCTTGAGCAAGCAGGTCTCCCTGCTGACTGGAGTCTGGCACAATTTGCTTGTGCGAGTGGTAGTGCGTCAGGACTGTCTGGGTCATAGTCCATCTCCTCGTCTTTACCATTGACTTCCATCATGAGGATGGTGGTCTCGTCCTCGCACATTCCACATCCATCATCTTCTTCGACTTCTGACATAGGGTTGCCAATGACAATGGTCATTGGCCCAACCGGGACTGGCGGGTTTCCCTGCTGTACAGGCGTCTGAACATCGCATGGCTGTCCCGGAGTCGGTGGTACGGTAGTCGGCTCAGGCTCGTTACCGAGCATAGCGTGCGCCTCGGGCTGATCATAGTCATACGAGGGCTGCCCGATAACATTTCGCATGGCCGTGTGGTTGGGCTGTAGTCCCACCGCCTGGAGACCCCATCCCGGCGGAGGGAGAGCCTGTCCACGCATGGAGATGGCCCTTTCAAGGGCTTGGCGCCATCTCCCTCTAGAATACCACACATGTCGCTGCTCGTCCTCAGGGTGCACGCTGTCAATGAAAGTAAGGGCCGCTAACAATGACCCCGAGTCGTCACAGGCATCGGTGTCTTGTAGCATCATGGCCACTCTCGACGCTCTCTTGACTCTCGGGATATGCTACGACCAGTACAGCGTGCATCTGCATGAGGGTCTGCAGTATCGCGTGCGGTCCGTACTCGCCTGGCGCGAGCATGCCAGGTGGCACGCGTGGGTTTCCTGGCACGCCCACGGTGAACGCTTAAGCCTCTAATTCCATCAGATCACCATAATTTGGAGGATATACTGGAGTGGGCCTGTTTCCAGGCATGAGGTCGGGTCGACGTCGAAGGTTGCGGTCAACCTCCGAAGGCGAGGCCTCAACAGTGACCTCCTCGTCGCTGCTCTCGTAGGCCATGATGTTGCCTGGGTTACCGAACATCCAGTCGAAGAAATAGAGGGGCTGGTTTCCCAGCGTTCCGTTCTCCACAGGCGTGAGCTCGATATTTCCGAGAACAAACCTGCGGAGGTACTCGGGGTAGTACGCGTAAAGCCCATGGCCGCGCGCCTCGAGCTCACCCAAATTGCCCATACTGCTAGCCCAAGTGAAAAATATATGTTCCACAGCCTCGAAGTCTTGGAGGCTCAGATATTCAATGGACGGTTCACTTGAGCCTACGTGGACTTCGGTCGATCTACCCTTTCCATTTCCCTTCGCTGGACAATCCTTTACAAGATGATCGGTACTATCACACTCATGGCACTTTAAGATCTGGCCGTCTCTATCTCTCGGGTTTCCCCGCCTACCTTTACCTTTGTCCGAGGTCTCCCCGCGGCCTTTTCCACGGCCTTTTCCCCGCAAAATATCTCATCATACTGATAGTCAGAAAGCCTCTGGAGGAAAGCCGAGATGCCTCGTCCGTTCAACCTTCGGCGACCCCGCTTGCCTTTACCTTTTCCTCTGAAGCTCCTCCGTATCCTCCTCCTAACACGACGCGCTGGTTTTCGTGTAAACCTCCTCCACCTACGCTTTGCATGTTGTAATAACCAGAACAAGTGTTCGGCACGCTGATTGTCCCCTTCCATTTGCATGATATCTGGCCAATCTAGGGGTTCGATACCACCTGATGATATGGTGTCGGTGTCGGTGCCGGAGTCGAAGTCGTCGTTACCTAAGTAGGTGGATACACCGTCGTTTAGGGGATTCGCTTCGCCCCATCAGGAACGGTGAGGTTGAGGTTATCTAGGAGGAGGGCTGTTTGCCCAGCTTGGCTGTGATCGATCCCCTGCTAGTAGGGCAATGGATTATCCAGGATCGTCGGCCCATATGTTTGAAGGCCCGTTGCCAGGGTGAGCTTCAGTGGTTAAGGTAGTATAGAAATTTCCACTGCCAATTCCCTTTCCCCTTCCAAACACTGATCCTATGTTACCAGGAGACCGTTCTGACAAATGGCCTATAGAGCGCATCCTCTCACACAGTTCGTCATACTGCTGTTGCGTTCGGGGCATTTGGTGGTTGAGTGGCTGTAAGAGTTGCATGGCTCGCTGGTTGCCAACGCCTAGGGCGCGAAACAGGATAGTCGTGAGCAGTTGGAAGTTGGGAAAGTCAAAGCCCACCGACTGTGCCTCAAGACGGGCCATCTCGAACCGAGTAAGGGTTACATCGATTCGTTCTCCGTGAGGCACGTGGAAGTCGATGAGCTGAGTGCCTGAAATGAGCTGGTGCTCATCTTCCAAGCGTTCGAACTGCATGCTTAGGAGGAACATAATATAGGTTACTGGGTCGGTGTGGACACCATCGGTGTCCGCACCATAATTTATAATGTCAGGTGGTACCCTCATGGCGGGTGTCCTCGCTAGGCCACCCAGGCCGCGTTGTATGGCGGCTGCTTGGGCTTGTGGCGCCATGCGCCCGCTTGTGACGTTAAGCCACGCGTTGACCTCATAAACGTATTCACGGAAAGGTACGTTGCCTTGAGGGTCCCAGTATGGGCCATGAGTTTGCCCATCTGTGCTATTGTTTCCTCGGCGCATGTGTCCGATTGCTGCCCCCAACGCAAACCATATGATGGCGAAGATAACTAGCCCAAGGCTGTGAAGATATGGGTGGTTATCAGGCGCGTTGCCGCGCTGGGGTAGGGCTTGTAGCGCCTTGTCAAGTCTACGAGGCGCTTTATCTTGCGGGTCTGCCCACCTATGCTTCAAGTACTGCGCTTTTGGCTCGTTGCCGAGCGATTGTTAGTAGCGTAGTGATGAAGCGCATATGGTACCAATGTTGTTGTCTAGACGTCGTACATCTCGTGTTACTTATTGCTCTTGAATTGATCCTCGTAAATGTAGTTGGAGTGGTGGCGCAGGGTGGAAGTTGGTCACGAAGATCGTGCCAGATAGCGCGAGGATAAGAAGAGCAAAAGCTGACCACACGAGAGTGTGGCCAGCTCCGCTACCAAGTCTGAAATGACTATGGCAAGTCAAATAGCATCCGATTCCATGGGGACTGGATGGATAGGATAGGATAGGATAAGATCGATGTAAGGATCTTTCCAGCACGTAGCGAACACTAAGGTAAGTGTCCGGGCAAATGGGGCGCGCGTGCCTTGAACCGAAGGCAACGGCGCGCAGGCAATACTCCCGATCCTCTATAACATTTCCCAAAGAGCTACCCTTAAAGTTGGAAATCCTGGGGGGGGGCACCTTGGGCCAGGGGCACTTCTAGCAACGCCCGATTTTAGCGTTGCGCCCGATTAGGCCGGAGGGAGTGTGCCCGCTGGAGCCCGCGCGGTGCGCGGCGTCGGCCACGCTCAGTAGGCCGCCTTCGACTGGGCCAGGTAGTCCGACCACTCCTGGGAGGGTAAGGGGGGGCAGGAGGGGATTTGTTTTTCCATGGAGGAGCGCGAGAGCGCGGAGAGGAGCTGTGAGCTGAAGCTGTCAGGAGCTGTGCAAGCTGGGAGGCAGGGCTGACAGCAGGGCACCTGCTGACACCAGGAGGTGTGCAAGGTCGGCTCCCGGCGCGGAGCTCTGCTGGCTCCTGGCGGAGCTCCTGCCAGTCAGCTCCAGGAGCACCCGAAGACGCAGAACCCTTCTTTCAGAAGGCGCGAGGGTTTCTGAAAAGTCGCGCCGTGTTCTGAGAAGGCGTTTTCCTTCCCATGTCCCCCCCTTCGCTTGCCGCCGACAGGAACAGGAGGGGAGAGGTGTGCAACGCCAGCGACGCCAACGGAGGTGACCGCGCTGGCACCAGGAGCTGCGCACGCTGGGCGAGGGCGGGGCCGTGGCCGAGGTCGACCTCGCCAGGCGGCGCTGAACCGCCCGCCTGGCCGTGGACGCATCGCACTCGGGGAGGCCCGGCCCGCGGTGGCCAGCGCGGAGGGGAAGAGGGGGGCGTGCACGGGACTGGGACGTTCGAGCGATTTCGTCCCGATGTTCTCTTGTAGCTATTTGTCATTCCTCTTCCTCTCCATGGTTGCGTTCCTCCAGGCTCTGACTTTCGTTCAGCTGTTCCTGATGCACAACTCGTGGAGGCGTGCACAGGAGCGGGCACGAACGGGGACGTGTGCGACAGAGGCCTCGAGCATAACTGCGACCCGCACGCGCCGTGCGTGGGAGCGAAGAAAGGCGGCACCAGCACCAGCAGGGCGAGGAGGTGCGAGGAGGAAGGGAGGTCTCCCTGGTGGTGTGCTCCCCCCCTTTCGCTCGAGACATCCCCGGCCTCCAGCTCGGGGAGGCATCGTGGACCTCCTCGCTGGAGGTGGGCCCCCCGGTGGTCTTGGTATCGCTTCTCCTCCCTCCGCACGCGCAGGCACGCACGGCACTCGAAGCTCTGCCTCCTCGACGCTGCCCCTTGCATCCCTGTTTGCTCGGCCCACGGCTTCGGTCTCCCGCCGCTGCAGCGGCTTCAAGGTCGGCGTCCACAGGTCGGGTGCCCTTGGAACAGGGAGGAGGGAATAGAGCAGCAAGCAACAGCATAGACATGTGTGTTTGGAACTCCGCGCCGATCCCAGACATTCGCTTGAATCTCCGCCAATTCATGCTGATGCAGACTTTTCCTCGAGGGGGAGGAAGTCACGGAATTCATCCTGGCAGGACTCCTAAGTGCCAGCTCGGGCAGTCCACCAAACACCTCAGGCGCCTGGGAACTGCTTTCCATATTCAGGCGGGAGACCCCCCTGTGCAGCCTGCTCAGATTCTGATTCCCTGCGTGACTGGGGCGCGGAGGGCAGCAATAGGAGTAGAAGAGGCGGAAGAGAAGGAGGAGGAGGAGGGACCCGTAGACATGTTGGCCCAAGCCATTTGGGCTCAAGTTTCAAGTCGCCACTGATCGAGGCAGCCGGCCAGGTCAGCCAATGGCCCGATCCCAGGGGACGCCAAGCAGGGCCGCCCGAGGGCCTTGTCGCCTGGCCACTACCCCTGCACCTTGCTGCGACAGAGTGTAGCTTCGGTGGCGCTGATTCTTGCGCTTCGGAGCGTCAGCGAGCGAACGGGTTAAACGATACTGAATATGGTGGCAATGCTGGGGCTTCAACCGCCGCCGCGACGCCAACCGCAGACGCCAAAACAACCGTGCCCTCAGCCGCTGGCCGGGCCGCAACTGGAGCCCGGAAAGTGCCGACGTCAAAGCCGAACCCGTGCCACGACCTGGTCCTGTTCCGTCGCGGGAGGCTCGGCACTCTTTTCTCTAATAGCGTTTCGCTGGAATGTCCTTGCGGCGGCACATTGGCCTGGCGAAGGACCCAACCATGTGCAATTGTATTTACAGTCGTTGTATGCACCGCATTCGGAGGAGCTCCCTGTATGGCCACAAAACATGTGAGTGGTGTGCCAAAACTTGTGCGGTGGGCGCATGCGAACGCAACCACTGGGGCCGTCGGTGGAATTCCTCATGGGGCCACGAAACGAATGAGGGGTGTGCCGAAATATGTGCGGTGGGCGCATGCGAACGCATACACTGGGGCCTTCGGTGGAGCTCCCATGGAGCCGCGAAACGCGTGAGGGGTGTGCCAAAATGTGTGCGGTGGGCGCATGCGAACGCAACCGTTGGGGCCGTCGGTGCAACTCCCTATGGGGACACGGAGAGAATGAGAAGTGTGCCAAACACGGGTGCGGTGGGCGCATGCGAACGCAGCAACTGGGGCCGTCGGTGCAGCTCCCTATGGGGCCACGCAGCGTGTGAGGGGTGTGCCGAAATGAGCGTGGTGAGCGCATGCGAACGCAGCGACTCGGGCATTCGGTGGAGCTCCCTGTGGGGGCACGAAACGTGTGCTGGGTGGGGGAGACAGAGGCAGGAATGGGAGGAGGGAGGAGGAGGAGGAGGACGAGGAGGAGGCGGAGGAAGAAGGGAGGAAGGAAGGAAGGAAGGAAGGAAGGAAGGAGGAAGGAAGGAGGGACGCGGACCGTCTCTCAAAACGAGGACCCAACAACAGGTGGGTTGGAAAAAAGGATCACCGAGGGGACGGGGAACCCTGCATCGCAGGGTCTGGCAGCCGATTCCATGACCGTGCTCTCACCCCAAGGAACTAGTCGACCTCCGAGTCCTCGACCCGCCTCTTCACTGTTCCTTTTATTAGGGTGCTTTGCTGGGTGAATTCAAAAGGCCCCGATTGCGGACAGAAGGGTCGCAACGGCACATGAGAAATGTGCCGCCCCGCAGTCCTCAGCGGCGCAGCTGCGCCGCATATGAGGAGGACTTGCAGCGCTCCTTGCAGGTATTGGCGATGCTCACGGTCGCAACGCAGAAGGCGAGCTCGGACGACGAGCCGACGATGGCAGAGATCAGCATGTGCATCGACAAGTTGGGCCAACGTGCCTTCCAATTGACTGCGGGGAAGGATGGGCTAGAAAGACTGCCCGCAGAACGATCTGATTCTCACCTGATGAAGGACCATGAGGGGCACCGACAGGCAAGGACTGGCGCAAGGGTGGGAACATCGACATGTAGATCCGCGATACCTCGCCGTCAATAGAGGAACAACAACCGACATAAACATTAACTTGTGACGGTCCGCGCGGATCTCTTGGATCTGAGCTGGGGCCCCCCTGGCGGCGCCTCCCGCGCCGCCCCTGGCGCGGAGTGCGCGGAGTTCCCGAAGCTTATGTTTATGCTGTTTCTTGTTATTCGAGTCAGGTCGGCGATAGGCCTTCGATAGCGCAGCCGCACGTTCCTGGGCAGGGTGGGACCACATCGGGCCCCCTTATCGGCGATCCATGGGCGATTGGGCGGGTCGATGCCTTTCCCCCCGAGCCTATCCCCGCTGTGCCCCCGACGAAGGAAAGGGAGCAGGCCGAGATCGCAGCCGCCGCGGCAGCGGGCTCGGCTGCCACGACAGGAACGACGGTGCCGCCTCCGCCTGCTCCGCCATCGGCGCCGCCGCCGACACTGGCGCCCGCGCCCCCGCCGACGAGCGCTGCCAACAGCAATAGGGGACCACATGCGAACCCTACCCCTACCCCCCGCGATTTTTGGGGGGGAGGGTGGGGTTCACACGATTCAGGAGCTCCCGAGCGAGGCGGACCCCACCCTCCCCCTCGGAAATCGTGGGAGGTAGTGGTGGGGTTCGCAAGTGGCCCCCGAAGCAAGGCATGCTTGCTGGCGGCCCCTGCGCACACGGCGGCGCCCACGCGGGCCCAGCCGGCACCGACTCGGCAGCCCGGCTCGGCTCGCAGTGCGCGGCGGACCGGGCCGCGCCGGCACGGGAGCGAGACCGAGTCAGAGCGGCTGCGCCGGGATACACAGCAGCGCGCCGCGCAGACATCGAGCCGCACCACAGCGTCGGAGCATCGGGATCGAACCGGATCGGGCCGGCCGGAATCGGCATCGAATCGGATCGGTGGGATCGAAGTGGACCCTGCTGCGTGGGCCCAGATGCCAAATGGTAGCCCGCAACAGATCCAAGCGACGTGCCAGTGCATGTTCGGCCAGCAGCAGGCCACGGAGATGGTGCAACAGATGAAGCTGAAGGGGCAACCAGTGGGAGAGGCATGCCAGGTCGCCTGACGTCGGCATCTCCGACTCGGCTTGTGTCGCCCACGGACGCGACCATGATGTCCCCGGCAGTCTTGGGCAAGAGGGCGTCCAAAGCCGAGGCGGCCCCACCAGAGAAGCGCATCGCGTTGCCAGGAGAGGGAGGCCCACCAATTCAACTGCTCCTCATAGCCTCACATCCGACCCCTGGCGTAGTCACGGGATGCCAAGCCGCAGGGCCCTACCCGACGGCCATGAGCCAGCACACCCTGGCTGCTCGACAGACCAGAGCCCTGGTCCAGGCTACGGCGGCGGAGGCTGGCATGCCGACGTCCGAGCTCTCCCCGACGTCGACCCAGATGGTATTAGGTATTAGGACCTCTTGGGGCGGACTTGCCCCAAGAGACACCAGTCCTGCCAAACGTGGAGGTGCTCATTGTGATGCAGCCCTTGCAGCCTTCCCAGGGCGAGCAGATCCCAGGGCCAACTTCAACGCGCTGCTGCAGCACTGACTGTCCTGCCTGTCCCTGTACGAGCAGCTAATACTCAGAGCAACGCTGACCCTTCCTCCTCAATCATCATGACGCTGCCAGTCTTCGGCTCTACTGGAGAATCCCTCAGCCAGTGCTGACTCCGTTTCTCCGCCGACGCGGCCCCGAGAGGGTCCGATATCCGTTCCTCCGTGAGCGGTGCATCGGCTGCGCGGGCAACGTTGCTTTCGCCTCGACCCTTTCCTCCGCCAATGACAACTGGAATGGTTCTCGGATCTTCGGCTAGAGACCACCCACATGTGGCCAGACAAGATGCGGTCGGAGGATGCCGGAAGGTCGCGCCGCATCGCCGATGCGTCGGCGATGTCGGCGTGGAGACAATCCGACTCCAGATCGA